GCCGATCAGGCTGGTTTTAATTTCATTCGACGCAGAAATTAATCCTCCACAGATGATGTTTCGAGCTGTTTTACGGTCAGGCTAATGGTTTACTAACAATTTCACGAATAATTCAAAAAACGTGGTTTTTCATCGTTTTTTGCCTGTAGCTCGGAACTGAAGGGTTTGCGGACACAGGTTCATAGGACCTTTTTTACTCAACGTTCAATTTCCTATAAGATCTGGAAGTGTGGCTGAATCGATTGAGGCCACCCTGTATTATTCTTATTACGTGAGACCTAATAATATTCATTCTCTTTTTCATTCGTAGTAGTAGAACATCTCAACTGTTATATTCAATTAGTTATTTTAAAAAACTTTTTTTGATTTGCCTGAGTTAATTTACATAAAAATAATTATGTGCATGTGCACAAAACTATTATTTACTGTAAAATTAAATAATAAAAGCTAATATAATAATTGCAATGCAGATTTGTTTATGTAGTTACACTTGTTGAGTAATTTTTCTAAGATTATTTTCAAAAATAAAAAAAGTAACACCATTAAAAAAGGCTCTTCTTATCAGTTTTAAAATACAAACAAAACATATAAGATTAATATTTTTATAAATAAAATCAACTAAGCAGAAAGAAAGAAAAAACAATAAAGAGATAAGATGCTTTGTTAAGTTGTATAATAAAGAACAAAGTAATTTATCTGATATGGCTGAATAAAAATAAGTAAAATAAAAATGAATAATGGCTAACTTTGGATATATTCATCGAGAGCAATATGGTCTGGATGTTGCAGGTAAAATCTTTCTATCATTTCCTTATTTCCAAAAATTCCCAAATTACATTTCTGACATTCTAGAATTTCTTCATCTACTTTAATTTCGTGTGAGTCGAAGTGGCTTATCCATTCAAACTGGCATGAGAAATCAATATCGCAATTTAGACACAGCCCTTTGAAAGACATAATTTTAGTTGTATCATAATCAAATTTCTTGGCTTCTAATATTTCAAAGAATTTTGGATTTATTTGTTCGTATGCGTTTATGGTCAGAGAATTCATTAAGGAATTCGGTGTGCTGGTCTGAGGAGAAATTTCTTGACTGGGAACGGGCGACGATTGTAAAAGATTCATGGGTGGTTGGATATGACTTATGTTAGAAGACAGATCTGCAAGAGAGCCTCCGAAAGTGGAAACTGCCCGGTTTGAATTCATTGAAAGATCGTTCTCCGATTGCCACTGCTGGGCATTTTTGGTTCTTAAGTTGTTTTTCGATTCGTAGATTCTCAATGATCTTTCTGGGTGGCATTTCTTCAAGTGGTACCCCATGTAATCTCCTGCGTGCATTTTAAACACCAAGAAAGACATTTTGCAAAATTCGCATGTGCTGATCGTATTCCCGGATTGGTGATTGACATTGGAACAGTGGTTTTTCCAGTCACGTTTCTTTTCAAATATCATTCCGCAAGGTCTACAATAATGCCCCTCAGCACACTGGTTTGAACTGAGTCTTGAATTAAGGATCTCAAATTCTTCCGATATGACAGTCGTTCTGAATTTTTCTTCGTGGTTTAAGTTTATATCACACAGATTTTTCTTTTTTTTGAAATTGTTGGTTTGCTCTTTGTTTTTATTTTTGGACCAGTTCCTTCCTTTAGGATTAAAATCATTCATTCTGCTACCGGCCATACTACTTGTACTACTATGGAAATCCTTCCTTTCGTTACATTTTAAGTTATTGGAGTTAGCTGTCGGTACGTCTATTGATGTTGAGGCTGAGCTATTACCTTTTGCCGTCAAATCGTTTGACATAGTTTTATTAGCTTCGATTTTTCTGACCTTACTGTCCAGAGCTTTGTGATCTTCAGAATTCAGTATGAGATCCAAATGGATCTGTTCGCTATAGAGAATTACCCCACAAAATTTACAATAAGTGCCCTCGACTCTGTTAGCCTCGAGAAGGGCAAGGTTGTTTCTTTCCAAATGGACTTTGTCATTCCTCAAATGTTCGTTCCACTCCTGTGAACAAAACGAGTGGTAGTTGCACAGTCCACAATAGTGGCCTTTTTTCTCCATCGTCCCCGTAGTGGGATTGATATTCGTGTACATCTCGTACAAGACATCCCTCCACAGCTCGACGACACCTCCTAACGTCTGACTCTCTTTCACCCTTTTCTGTACTACTTTCATCAGTTGTATAAAAGTTCTGACGGATATGAGCAGAACATCGCACTCTTCAGCAACTTCATCGGGTATCACAAAATGCGATTTGGATATGAGGCTAGGCAGAACCTCGTCCAACTGATACCTAGTGAAGCTTGAAAGTTTCATGAAGAAAGAAAACATTTGCTGACAATCTTTAAGAGTTGCAGTCTGACTGGAAGATATTGCACTGTTCATACCTGGAAAACATGTCTACTTTAGACTTTCTGTTATTTTTATGATTTTACTTTCTTATCTGAAAACCCTTAATGAATTTTGGAAAATACATGTTTAAATTTTTTTATTATTTCTCATAACTATTAATCCTGAAAAACAAGCCAAATGTGAAAATGCAATTGGGTTTAAACTACATTCTAGTTAATGCAATATCAGTAATAATACTTCAAAAGGCTTATATCAATTTTAATATTGACAATGCTGATAAAGTTCCGAAAGTAACAATAATTTCATCCTCTTTACCACAAAATTTAAACCTAATGTTTTAGGAGGAATCAACCAAATAAATAATTATGTAATTAATTATTTAATTACAAAATTAATTTGGTTCTATTTACTGAGTACTGTTACTAGTATATTTATTATGAAAGACATTCAACCTGAAAAAAAGTTTACCAAAGCCAAATTGAGTATCTTACTTAATTTCTTTTATCAATTGCTAATCTACTTTATATTTTGAAAATCCACAAAGGACAATTAAATCACAATAAAAAAAGTCTATTGTGAAAAACCATAATATAAATTATTTTTTGCCTAGTTTATGAACACAAAGTTTTTTTTTCTAACTCACTAGGATAATAGGATACAGAAAGGAACTTAACCATTTCAAATAGCAATTTTTCATCAACGTACTTTTTTTAAAAGCTTTTTTGAAGCTGCATTCAATTCAAATAGCAGTTCAAATTAATTTGGACCAACTATTCTCAACTTATATTACAAAAAGCTTTTTCTGAATAATGTTTTTAAGACAAAAGAAATCTCCAACTTCTTCAACCAAAAACAAATTTATTTATGATTTTAATTGATAGTAAATTATAATTGCTCATAGTACCGGAAGAAATATCTTGCAATAATTTTCTCAAATAACTGTGATTAATAGGACACTAGATATAACTCATTAAAGCACAATTCATCCAATTTTTGATCTACTTTTCCGAACAGCAGAACCATCGTCACTTTTTCTTGAATTATACATTTTTATGATATGCACAGTAAGTCAAAGAACATAAAATCTAAACTTTAGTGTGGTGGTTTTTAAGGTGTGTTAATTATTCATTAAAACATTAAATTTTTTTGTTGAGATTATTCAAAAGTCTCAGATGTGAAAAAATCAATTTTTATGTACATTTTTTTTGTTTTTGGTTAAACATTAATCTTTTTAAGTTTCTATGTTGTTGTGGACTGAAATTTGCACCGGGCTGAATCTAATTTAATGAACTACATTCAAAGCATCCAGTTAGCCTATGTTATTTGAAGGAATTGTGAAAATTTTCTTTTTGTACCATTAGCATTTAATTTACTATCAATTAAAATGATAAGTAAATAGATTTGTTCTTGTTTGAAGAAGTTGGATAAGGTTTTGTTTATCTAAAAAATGACCTTTGGAATAATAAAACTGTCTACACCGTTGGGTTCAGCGTCAAAAATCCTTTTAAAAAGTATCTTGAATGGCAATAGTTAAGTTCCCATCCGCATCCCATTATCCGGGTGCATTTGATCAAAACTTTCTCATTCATGAGAAAGTAAAAAAAACATAAAATTTTACGTGTTTTGGGTTTTTTCCCCAATAAAGGAAATATATGGGGAACAGAAGTGAAATTCACCCTGTATAGATAGTATATGTATTGTATACAATATATGGAAGTTATAACTTTTCAATCTATTTGTCTTGGTTTGCCTATTTGATTCCCTTTATATCTGTATCTTTTTTACTTTATCTCTGCCTTTTTTCCTCTCTGACCCACTATTTTTTTATTCTTTCACTCAATATGAAAACATTATTTGAAATAGGGCGTGAAAAAAATTGCAATTAATTTTTTTAGCATTTGATGAGCTTTTTTAATAATAATACAAGCAGGATGCAATAAGAATGCACAATAACGACTGACAACGGGTTCTGGTGGATTGGTCATAGATGACATGTGTCATCAGTGTGATATATGTAATATGCAAGAAGCATAGCTCTTATTTGCACTATTGGTCCTGTCTTTGAATACTTAGAGCAGGAACAACTTATGACAGTTTCAACCAACAATTGAATAACAAATCTAATGATCTGGCCTGACATGAGTACTGTTATGGCTGTCATTGCTTAATAAGACAATAAGATAAGTTTAATCTTCACCAGGGATGCTAATCAGTAGGAAATGACATGTGCAGAGCTGGTACATCATCACTGAGTGTGCTCGACATAAGTCATCACCTTCACAACGGCATGGCCACAAATGAAACTGTACATGAACAATAATTACAACGGTACAAGATCAAAGGTGCGTTTGTAAAACTAACGTAACTCTCGGATTTATAGAAACGTTGTCAAAATACCAGACAAATGCGAAAAAGCTGCGGCGGTTTTACTCGAGTTCCACATCCTCCAGTTATAGTTGTTATTGGTCTGTTTTAAACTTTTGACATCACACATGGTAAATTTAATGGCTCGTATTTATGTTCGACAATATTGTATTTGAATCAGCTAATATGATCGATAAAAGATTAATAATAGAACAGATTGTTGGCATGTTCAAGGATAAGTCGACAGAAGAAGAAAAAAAAATGTTATGATTAATTACCTGTGATTCTTCACGATTTTAACAGCATTCGGAAACGAAGGTCGAGAAACGTGATAATCTTCGTTTACGTTAAATCAAAATGAGACAGCTTAATGAACACATCGATGTTCGAGACATCGACAATATCATTATTACTTTTTGATAATAAATATCGATGTTTATATTATTTTTTTAATATTTATATTTTATTATGCAAAGGATTTTAAATTTGCTTACAATCTCTCGGGACACAGATGCAACGAAAAAGTCGACATGTTGGCAAAAAAGGGGAGCCAACATGGACTCTGGGTCTTGAACCTTAGTGTGGGTTAGCATCCTGCCACAAAAGAGGATACATCTTAAAATGGATCCTTAATAAGTCCAAAACCTGATGGAATAATACAAGTATGAGGCACTAGAACTTAGAAGGACCTTCCCCAAAACTTACAACCACAACCGAACTAGGATTCTGGTCGGATTCCTGATAGGGCACTGCCACTTAAGAAGGCACATGCACTAGATAGGAGTACAGACACTGGGCAGATCATGTCACGAAGAGGAAACCGCAGAACACATTCGATGTTTCTGTGCATGTCTATGGAGGTACAGAATCTTACAACTAGTACAAGAAAAACCATCCTTCACCAAGGAGCTGTTGGCGAAGCTATGGAGGCTGATTAATAACCTGAAGCTGGCCAGTGTGTTATAAATAAAAGCGCAATAGTTGCAGGCAAGGTGCAGTAGACCTTGTGACCGCTCTTTTATCCATATCCCCGACAACCTCTTCCTTGTCAAAAGGAAGAAAATCTACTTGAAATTACAAGCAATGTGTGGTGTTTAGTGACCGTTCGCCAATGATTATATTATATTATAAATCCCAGGCCTGAAGATGATTTCAATATAGATTGAAACATTGGCATGACAAAGAAAATGTTTTTCTAAAACCTACACACCAGACCTTACGATCTCCAAATAATCATTACAAGCAATTTTAATTGAAACTTGTTGTCATATTATTGATATTAAAAATGAATTTTTGTTATTGTCTGCACAATTTTGATATAAATCAGGCACCAATGAATTTGTAAAATTACACAAAGGTAGACAATCTTTTAACTCTAATAATGATAATTGTCAGAAAATTTGATAATATGTCTGTAGCTTGGTTATGGATCATGTTGGTCTGACAGACGAGTTTAGCTCAGTGGCAGGCCTCACATGATCTCAAAAAGATGTGTCCTAAATCGATAAAGTCTGGCATAAATACGTGTACCAGAGATATAATTTTTTTTTTTTTTAGATTAATGTGCCTGCAGGATGAACGACTTTTGGTCTTCCTTTTCAAACAGAAACTACTATTTGGTCAATAATAAAGAACAAGAGAAGTAAAAAAGAATCTAATTTATTTAAAAAAAAAAAAAAATTAAAGATTCACAAGATGAATATTTGTTTCACCAATGTGCATTGTGCCTCTTTGCAACAATTTCAATAAAATCTGAATGACTGGCGTAGAGCTTAAGATCTTTTGATATATCAAGCCAGCAGACACCGATGGCATCATCACCCGCTTGCAGATTCAACTTACTGACTGAAGAGCCATCTTCGTCGTGAAAATTTTGTGCAACCGTTTCCATCCAGGCATTGTCCGTATTTCTTGGATCATCAACGTAACCTTTATAGATGTCCACACCAGATGCAAACAGGGCTTTGAGCTTGTCCTGCATATCCAACTTGGTCTCATCTTCCATCATGTTGGAGTTGAGTGCTTCTTCGAGGAACTCTCTTTTGAGGGTCTGTGAAACAACTTCGCCTACATCGACCATACCTCCTGGTATTGCTATCTCATTGTTGTCACCTCTTCTTATTGCGATAAACTGCATTATATTTTTCCCGGACAGCTTATCATATGAGATACTGCCGTTTTCACGTTTCCACCTTGTGACAATGGGATCTGCTGCATGGTTCGGACCCCAACGTCCAAGAAGGCCTCTACCAGACAAACCAGTCCTACCACATGGATTAAGCGGATGACCATTATGTATTTTGTAATTGCCTCCAAAACTCCTTCTTTCAACCTTGCCATCCACACTATTCCATCGTGGATTAAAGTTTTCTTCACAAATGTCCGGATCGGCCCAGGGTTTATTTTTTAAAGCACTTGATGTATACCTAACAGGGTTGTAATCATCCCAAGATACATCCCAGGACACTTTATCGTCCGGTACATAAACTCTCTTGACATTGCTTTTTGGATACTCAAGCACTCTACATTTGAAATGGCTTACTTTAGTACACATCCCTGATATCTAAAAGTGAAATAGATCCATACATATAAATATATATAAAAACAAAGGTCACTACGCAGTGCAAATGTTGGTACAAACATTGATTTTTATCTTATTCCAATTGTAATATTGCATAAAAATATCTTCGTAATTAACAAAGTTTTTGTACATTCATTTCTAATAGCCATTATTGCAATTGTAATAATTGAAAAATATATATTTAAGTTGACACAAAATAATACAAGTACTTAATCTTGTCCCTTACTAAATAGAGATGTTTAAATTTAAACAATAGGGTCTGAGGCATGGAGTTAAATTTTAGTCTTTTTAAAAAATGTTTAAAGTTTTTTTTTAAAGGGCCCTTATTTAACACTGCAAAATTAACAATAATATTAAAGCTATGGGCCTAGAGCTGACCCTACTTTATTTCAGGTGTATGAATAAACTATTGACTAAATTTTAGAAGATTAAGCAGCCAAAATATTCTAAAATCTTGTAATTGTAATAAGCTTAATTACCATTCATGAGTAAAAAGCATCTGAAGTCTTTAACAGACCTACTTGCCTTAGTTCCATATCATTCCTAAATATCCAAAATGAAAGAATAGACAAATTTTCAGGCCAATGTTAAAGTAGTAAAAAAAAAAAAAAAAAAAAAAAACTTTCTGAGAAATTGTGAGATGCGGTCTGGTTGAACGTAGGTTTAAGGAAATATTTTCTTTATCGTGCCAATGCTTGATCTTTATTGAGATCATCTTCAGGGTCTGGGATTTATAAATATTTTTTAAATTATACAAATACATGAAGGACGTGAAAAAATGAATTTATATGATATCAATTTTAGACTCAATCAAAGTATTTGTACTTACTTTCATTGAGTCTAAAATTTCTAGCATTGCATAAATTCATTTTTTCACATCCTACATGTATTTGTATAATTAAACAATTCTTATAAATCCCAGGACCTGAGGATGATCTCAATAAAGATTGAAATGTTGGCACGATAAAGAAAATGGTTTTCTAAACCTATGTCACACCAGACTGCATTTCACAACTCCAAATTAACTAATCGTCACTAAACACCACACACTTTTCTGAAAAAGTTGTAAATTCAGCTAGGATCCTGAAGGACCTGAGAGTTCTTGGTGAGTTGTGACAAAAATAATGAAATTTTATTTTGTCTAGTTAAGAAATAATGTAAGTATAGCAACTGTTAGAAACAGTGAAGATAGCGAAATGCCAGAATGTATTTGATAGACCAAAATGGTGAATATAGGCAGACCAATGCAGGTGGGTTTTTTTTGATGAACCATAGGAAAAAGAATGCACCACCTGCTTAAATGGACATTGGTTTTCAATTTTTTTAATTGCCTAATTAAAACAAATTTCTTTGTCTGAATTTATTTCCAATTTTGGAATGTAACAATGTACATGGAGAAACGCTGACTTTATTGTTAAAAATTGAAAGAAACTTCCATTTTATTTACATATAATTACACTGACAGGAAAAAAATGCCGCCCAATTGGTTTGTTATCCTTTTGTTGATAAAAGAAAATTCTGACCTTAATTTGTCTCATTGTTGTAACCAATAAATATTTGTTTATGCTATGTTTTAAATTTGGTAAATACCCTTAATCCTTTATCCTTGCTTTGGATAAAGAATTTTTACATTTACTTTTTACGGACTTTAAAATGTTTATTCAGTCTCATTTATAACCTGAAGCAATAAACTGTTTAGTTTTCAGCTATGTTTTCTTAATTTCAATTTTTAAACTTAAAAATGCCACTTAGTGCTGAGGATGTTGCGCATGGTGTGGCATTTATTGATGTTGGACGTTCCATTAGTTATGTGGCTATTACCATCAGAGTTCCCAACAAAACACTGCGAGACGCCGTTAGACGTTTTGAGAAGCAGGGTCCTACTACAGAAGGCCCGGTTCTGGACAGCCTAGGGCAACCACAGAACCACAAGATGACCGTTTTTGACTGAGAATTTTGCAAAACCGGCACCTTATGGTTCAAGCAATTCATCAGCTCCAGGAAGTATAAGGTGTTCAAATTTTTGAACGCACTATTCAAAGAAGATTAAATCAGTATGGACTGATTGCTTTTCGCCTGTAACACACTCGCATTTGCTCAACAACACAGCTATCGATCTTTGGACTATTGGTCAGCTGTAATTTTTACAGATGAGTGTAGATTTGCTCTATGATCTCCAGATGGGCATGAAAGAGTGTGGAGAAGGCAAAATGAAAGGTATGGAGCTTGTAATTTTTCCCAGACCCAACCTTTTCAACGTAGGTGAGTGATGGTGTGGGTGGGAATCTCAATGGAGAGTCACAAGGAGTTGGCTGTTGTTAGTGAAGGGTCTCTGACGGGCACTTGCTATGTGGAGGAAATTGTGGATGCGTTGCCTATCCTAGATGATATCATCAATCCTATTGTAATACACAATAATGCCCATCCACATGTCGCTCACATAGTACAAACGTACCTTCAACTGCATAAGGGTCTTTGCCTGGCCACCCTTTCTCTAGACTTGAATCCCATCGAACATTTATGGGATAATCTCTAAAGACGAATACGAGCACATCTATAATTTCCTGATACACTCTACTATCTTGAAAGAACTCATCGCAAAAAATGGGATAACCTCCAGTAAAGGGACATTTCCAGATTGGTAGAAAGTATGCTGAGGCGTCTTTGAGATGTAATTAAGGCAAGAGGAGGAAATATGTGAAATTGAAATGTTAATTAAAAACAAAATCAAAACACATTTTGTCTGTCCATCTTTTATTTTTCATTTTCCTTAGCAATTTAGTTTTTTTTCTTTTTTATACCAATACTCAATTATTAAACGTTAAAAATCATGAAACTTTGATTAATATATAAAAAACATGTACAAATCAAGTTATATTACAAGTGGGTGGAATTTTTTGCCTGTCAGTGTACATAAAGAGAGGACGGCTGGGAAGGTACACTGTCTGTTTCATGTTTTGTTATTAAATACCTACTGCAGAGGATTGTAATTTTTAAATTTTTTAAAATTTGTTATTAATTTAAGCATGAATTATGCACTTTATTGTATTTTTTTGTATGTAGTTCTGTTTTATTCAGTAGAGGGGGTTAAAGATCATTGTCAAAATTAAAGCAGTCCTTTTTGCAAAGAGAAGGCCTCATACTAATATGTCACTTAAAATTAATGGCATAACTGTAGACTTTGCTGATTCTGTCTGATATTTAGGAGTAATCTTCACTCGTACTCTTAACTGGTCTAAACATTTGAAAACACTGAAAGCACAATGCTCAAATTCTATCAATTTTCTCCGAATTATTAATGGAACGACATGGGGTGCTGATAGAGCTAGCATGCTAAAAATCTACCGATGTCTCATTCGCTCTAAACTGGACTATGGGAGTTGTGCATACAGCACTGCTAGTTACAGAACATTGTCCATGATTGATCCTTTTACAAAACACAGGTTTGCGTCTAGCCATAGGTGCATTTAGATCTAGTCCATCTGTTAGTGTGCATGCTGCATATAGCTGGAGAATTGCCCCTCAAACATCGAAGATTAAGATTGGACTTGAACTTTGCAGTTAAAATTCTCTCATGCCCTTCCCATCCTCTAGTGTCCCTTTTTCCAAGTGAAAACTCTATTCCGTTTGAAGATACCCTATGCTGTAAAATAAAGCATTTTCCATCTAGAGTGGCTGCTCATTTACAATTAATAAATGCTACGATCCCCCCTCTCTATAAAATTGGAATTTCACCTAAACCTCCCTGGCTGCTTCCAAAGCCTAATCTATGCTTAGACCTCACTAAATTTTCTAAGAAGAGTACTCCCACCTACATGTACAGTCAAGAATTTTATAAAATAATAGATATCTTTTCGAATCCCACACTATGTTTTACAGATGGCTCAAAAAATGATGTAGGGACAGGCGCTGCTTTTTTCACTAATAATAATAAGGCACAATATATGTTTACCCTACCACATATACGTAACAGCTATACTGCTGAGATTATAGCAATAGCAAAATGCTTAACTACATTAGCCCCATCCAGGGAAACAATTGTCATCTGTACTGACTCTTTGTCAGCGCTATTGGCACTTAAAAACAACTTTTCTGTACATCCATTGATACAAGACATCCTACTTACCATTGAATCTCTGCAAAATCAGGGAAATAGAGTAGTTTTCATGTGGATTCCTGGAAACTGCGGAATATTTGGCAATGGGAAGGTGGACCATTTGGCAAAACAGGCAAAACTTAATGGAAATTACAAAAACACCAAAATCCGATGTGGCAGCTTGGCATAAAAGAAAGTCTTGGCAGTTATGGCAAACGACTTCGTAACACCTTGGGCCTCATCGCATAGAGGTTCCAGGCATGAAGAAGTTGTCCTTGCTAGGCTCAGAATTGGTCATTGTAGGCTTACTCATTCTTATCTCATGGCAAAAAAAGAGACTCCGCTTCGTGTTGTTTGCGCAGAAAGAATAACAGTGAAACACATTTTGACAAATTGCAAAAAATATGTAGCAGAAAGACATCGGTTGAAAATTCCAACCAATCTCAAAGACTCGCTTGGTGATGACTTCGACCAAATAAACAAACTAAACTAAACTAATTTCGGAAATATGAAGATAAAATAATATAATAATTTAATAAAAAATCATTCAAGTTCAGTATGCAATAATCTGTAATCCACTCAATGTTGGGTGGTGTCTTGGGATGCGGTTTGGGTGCCCACCTGGTGGAGGTTGTGGGGAGTGTCCGGGGCGTATGATGCTGCCGGGGCCCTGGTTCCCGCTATTGGGGGATTCCTGAGCTGTGGCCCACTCACCACCCAGCTTGAAATTTTTTAAGGCGGAAAATGACCCAAAGCGGTTGATCGCCTTTTATAATTTATAATAAAAAAAAAAAAATGATTTGAGGTGGGGTGAGTATGGCAAAACTCATTTTTGGAAAAGATAGTTCTTCTTACAGACACTGTCAATTGTATTTTAATCCATTAAATGCTTTAATTAGAAAATTAATAGAAATAATTTGAGGTGGGGTGAGTATGGCAATTCATTTTTTGGAAAATATTTTATAGCCCAGAAATTTTTATTTTTAGATTTAAATAGAAATTTGATTAGGTCATTTTATAGAAATTATAAATGATGGGGTGAGTGTGGAGTTCAATCCTTTTTAAAAAAGATGGTTCCTACTCACATTAAGTACAACTTAACCTTTTTAAAAAGGATAGGGCATTTTATTTTAGGGGTTTAAAAGTTTAATAAGTAGAAAATTTATATCTTACCGATTGTTTTAAAATAAGCATAACAAGCGTGAAAAGTGACAAAGGGAAGAAAACCTTCTGTCTTAATGTTGGATAACAACGAGTAGAACCTCCAGTTAATTTTATTTGTTAGAGGTGAAAACGTCAAACGCCAGATGTCAAACTTCCACGGACGTTTAGCAGTCCGGAAGCAATATTAAAACATGCCTCCTCCTCGTTTTGGGTGATTTTCCGTTGATAAAACAAAACCCGCAGCAGGATCGAAGCCGGGGCTGCTGTAAAAACTCCTGTATGACTAATGCGGTAATTGTCCGTTTCGACACTTGTTTGTCAAGCAGGACTTCGTCACTGGGAATATGGACGTGCTGAACAAGTTCTGCTCGACGGTGTCCAGCACCGTCTCGCAGCTCTCCGGTGTCCTTCCGGGCAACCCGGTCACGAGGGAGTACGAAGTCACGAACCACATTGGAAGTGCTGGGCCAGGTAATTCATTCGATTAATCTCATTAGGACTTAAGCTCAGATGGTTTGGTGCTAGGAGATCATACTTACCTCCAAACAAAACTTTTGCTTAAACTTACAATGTTTCGAAAAAATCTGCATCAGCTTATCGATATTGATGAAGGGTATTACACTGCACTTAAAACGCTAGGGACTGTGGTAGCTGACTGGTCAGCCTGATAGACCCTAGTCAATTTAAAACACTAGGGACCCGCCAGAGTGGTCAGTGGGATAAAATCTTGGCATGTAGACCCCAGGGTTGTGTGTTCGATTACCACCATCGCCCCTGACACTTTTTTCACACAACCCTTCCCAAAGACCAGTTTCAGATGGGGCTTTTTGTGCTGTGACAAAATTTTTGTTTTGTTCGTTTTTAGGCTTATTGTGGAAAATATACAGTGGATACAAAAAGTCGACAAAGCAATCTGCTTCTATATTTGTATTCGAGAAGCGGCAGGTAGTACCGCAGGACCGTGATGTGCTACTTGAAACTCTGAAAAGAGGAATCGGCCAGCTTACGAAGCTGCGCCACCCTCAAATCCTAGTCGTACAACACCCCTTAGAAGAATCAAGGTACGTCCAACATCGTAGTATCGGTTCTTCCAAACTTAAAAATCTTTTTTTTTTTTTCAGAGACTGTTTAGCTTTTGCAACTGAACCCGTATTTGCTAGTCTAGCTAATATATTAGGTAAAAAAGACAACATGCCACAGAATATTGAAGCGATAAATAATTATAAACTTTATGATGTTGAAATAAAATATGGACTTTTACAGGTAATATTTTTGTTGCATAAAAAATACTTTATAGTAAAGTTAATATATTTTTTTTTAAATAAAATTTTTATAGATAAGTGAAGGTTTAGCGTTTTTACACAAGGATGCAAAAATTCTTCATATGAATCTGTGCCCTTCTAGTATAGTTATTAATGAACAGGGAGCTTGGAAAATATTTGGTTTTGACTTTGCGATTTTAAATTCATCATCAGATGCCACTGTATGTAACTTCTATTATGTTAAAAAAAAATTGTTTATTAAAAATGATATATATTTTTAGCCTATGTGGAAGTGCCCAGATCCTAGGAGCTTCAGGCATGAATTAGCTAGGCCAGATTTAGATTATTTAGCACCAGAATGCGGCCTAACTGAATCGATATCACCCCCGAGCGACATATTTTCCCTAGGTGTGCTCATATTTGCCATTTATAATTCGGGCCGGACGCCTTTCTCCAACACCGATTGGCACAGCTACACAGCAAACATGTCAAAAGTATGTTTAAATGATTATTGTTAATATTTCTTGAACTAAAAGGATTATATTTCAGTTGAAATTATTGCAAAACGGTCAGCTGAACAATGTAGCAGAAGGTGTACGCGCATTGGTTAAAATAATGCTAACTTCAACACCTGAATTGAGGCCTGATGAACATGATTTTAGTAAGGTAACTTTGAACATTTGTTGCATATTTAATGTTGTCTGGCAATTTTATGAATAATAAATCTTTTTATCAATATTAGTTACTACTATTATTATTACAATGCTATATATTTTAGATAAGCGTTTTTTTGATCTTTTTTTGTAGTTATTTGTTTAACTTTTTGCAGATTGATTTTTTTGAAGATGTTGGTGTAAAAGCTTTGAACTATCTCGATTCACTTTTTCAATGGGATAACAGGCAAAAGTCTCATTTTTATAAAGGACTTCCACAAGTTTTGGACAAGCTGCCACACAGAGTTTGCTTGTACAGGTAGAGTTTTTAACTCTTGGACTTTACGTATTGATTATTAATTTAAAAAAAAATTTAATTATAGGGTCATTCCATGTCTTGTTAAGGAATTTGTCAATCCCATGATGGTACCTTTTGTGTTGCCTTCTGTATTTTTTATAGCCGAGAACTGTTCCAAGCAGGAGTTCAGCACACACATACTCCCTCATCTTATTACAGTTATGAAAATTCAGAATCCGATTCAGGTAGTTTTGCATTTTTTATATGAAAATAATTGCGTTCTTAAATCACACATCAATCGATTTTTTTCCAGATACTTTTGATATTCATGCAAAAAATGGACTTTCTATTAAAAATGACACCATGTGAAGAAGTCAAATCTCATATACTGCCTATGCTGTATAGAGGCTTTGAGACAGACACCCAAGAAATTCAAGAGCTTTGCCTCTCAAATTTGCCAAATTTCGCCAATCTCATCGAGTACCCGGCTTTAAAAAACGCAGTATTACCTCGAATCAAACGGCTGTGCATTTCAACATCATACATATCTGTAAGTGCTTTGGATAAATAACGCATTTGAATAAATTCCTAAAGTCTTTTGTATTTAGATTAGGGTGAATTGTTTGCTTTGCATCGGAAAGCTTCTGGACAGCTTAGACAAATGGTTAGTAATGGATGAAGTGCTTCCATTTTTACCGGAGATTCCCTCCAAAGAGCCTGCCGTGTTGATGGGCATCCTAGGTCTATATAAATATATATATATTTTTTAAAAATCTGATTTTTCTATTTTCATCACTATAATATTTACAGGAATTTACAAGTTGGTCTTAACAAATAAAAAAATGATGATGAGTAAAGAATTCATGGCGCAGAAGGCTATTCCATTTCTTATGCCACTCGCTGTTGAGAATTTTCTTACTCTGAATCAATTCAATACCATCATGTCTGTTATTAAAGATATGGTTGGGAGAGTTGAAGTCGAACACAAAGTGAAACTGGAACAGCTACAAGAGCAACAAAAGTAAGGAAAGGAATAAGTGTAACAATAAAAGAAAGTTATATTTTATAAAATGACATTTTGTGTATCTTAGAACTTTAGAAAGTTCAATGGCGGTAACATCACTATCGAATAACAACGCAGATCCTCCTTTGCCAGACCTTTTCAGTTTAAGGACAGATGATAAAAAGTCTACACCTCCACCTAGTCAAAAACCAACACTTACACTTGAAGAAAAACAGAGGTAATAGGTCTAAAATAATAATAAAAATTAATTTATTCTTGATTGTCGCCCATCAACCTAATCTCATTTTATCATTAGTGATCAGTTTGCTTGAAATGCCACAGTGTCTTGAAAAAAACTGAATCACGATTGTTACTGTAAAATTGCCAAAATTATAGATTTGCTTTATTGTTTAAAATATAATTATGGATTATTGACTTCCCGTAGAGGAACTGAAGTAGAAATATTCAAAAATGAAAATAATTAAACAATTTCATTTTTTTATTTGATTTAAATAATATTTTATTATTTTATAAATTAAAGTCAATACTTAATATTACTAAAGGATAATAATTATTTTATTCGCACAGAATTATAGCAGAGAGTGAGGCTTCAAAACAGCTTATGTCTCAAGTTCCTTTAAATCTTTCAGTGGTAACGAATAATAAACCCAAGCCCCAGCCTAAAGACCTGACAGGTATTTAATTACTAAATATTATTAGAGAGTTTATAAATTAATGATTTGAATTATTGTTTTTATCAGCGAGCCTTTTGGACAGCAACAATTTTACACTTGGAACCAGTAAACCCCAAACGTTCGGTTTGAGCAACACCACCACACAGGCATTTCCAACGAACACTTCTCTAAACAATTCATTTACGATGAGCAGTGTCAGCATGCCATTTACCGGCAATGCCAAGGGGAACGGATTTGCAGGGGGTTTCCAGTCACAAAACTTCTCCAACTTGAACTCATCGTCTTCCCTAAGCCAAATGACCAACAACCAGATGATGTCGCTCAACAGCAATTCGTTCATGAAAAGCCCAGGGAATGCCAGCCAGGAGTGGGGCTCCTGGAACTCAAACTTACAAACGCCCCTGCTAACACCATCATCACAGGCCCCATCCCTCCGAGTGCAACAAGCCCCCAAACCACTTTCTAACGATGATATAAATGACCTCTTGAGCTAAAAAGTTACCAAATAGGGCAATTATATCCTTTTTAGATTCATGTTTTTATATAATTATTTTATTCATGTACAGAAATACGTTAAGATTTATTTGTAAAAATTTGTTAGTTTTTTATTTATATATGACACTAGGTTACACCTTATTATTTTAAAATTTATTAAAACTATCTTATGTTAAGATGATCCCACTACAATAAAATCTTTTATCTATATCATAATAAATGTATTGTAATTTTAAGGTTATTTTACCATATGTGCAGAGGGAAGGCTTGAACTATTTGATAATTGATTACAAAAGTTAAATATTTAACACAAAATGTTTTGATTGCATTTAAACCTTTTTCCAATCACTCGAGTACCATTTTGAATATATTTCATAATTAACTTTATATTTTAATTTTTTATACTGAAACAGGTGATGTGGGCATGTCTTCTGACAACATAGAACATTTGCTGTTTAAGTCTCAAAAAATTGTGATGTATAAAATTTTTGTTTTGAAGGTGTTCATAGTTCTGCAAGTTGGCACATATTAGCAGTTTGATCATACCAGATTTGCCTCGGATATACTGAAACAAGTCAGAATTGCTGAAACATAAAGCTTGAATAGGCTGACATGATAATGGATTATTTTTTTTATTATTATTATTAGTAGTATTTTTAAGAGGGTTTGCAGCAGCATAGGTCATATCAACCCTCAAGATTTAGATGTTTTTTGAAAAAAAAGGAAGCCCATTTGTAAATATATTGGGAATGAAAATGAATGTAGGGCCGCTGGATTAGAACCGACCTTTTCCTCACAATGAGGGCTGTGTTAATACCATTGTGGCCACCAAATTAAAAAAAGTTTAAATAATGTACTAAACTAATAAAAACTTTTGGAGAACTTCATTAATGAATTTGTAAAAAATGGTATTTAGACCTCTTAAATATATTCATATCTAATTAATGTAAATTTAATAATACATTTTAAGAAAAGAAAGGATTTCTAATGAGGAGGGGCGTCGGTGGCCGCAAGGTTTAGTCGTTGACATCACTGTAAGGTAAAGGTCCTGGGTTCGAATCCAGCGGCCCTGCATTCGAACCCGACATACTTACAAATGGGCTTTTTTTCAAAAACACTGGCACCCTGAGGGTTTATATGACCTCTGCTGTTGCGAACCCTCAAAAAAAAAAAAAAAAAAAAAACTAATGAGGAGGGGGTTAAATAAATTAATTATCACCACATTGTGCTGGAATATTCATGGATAACTGTGAAAAAGTTTTTTTCAAAAATATTAACAAAAAAATCAATTTGGAAATGCTATGTAGACAATATTTTATGTATATGGTTGGGAATATTAGATCTAAAAGGCTCCCTCCAATTAATGTTTTTACACCCTAGTATAAATTTTGCATTGGAAATAAATAAAGATGGTTGTTTAAACTTTTCTGGCTTAAAAGTTTTAATGATTTTTTTTGGCCTATTTATTGTCCAATGTTATTTGTAATTTAAGTTCAGCATTTAATCAAACTTTATTTTTTAAATCAAAGTAAAATATTGTCATATTTCGCTGAGTGGGTTACAGGTCGATAAATCTGCCATTTGTACTTTACCAACCATACTGGTCTGCCTATCCCTGCCGAGTCGATCTGTCAGAAGTGGGTCTGGGCGATTTCTGCAAGTTGGCCTGTTTTTTAAGGCCCTGAGGTGTGGTATGCATGTATCGACATTACCTTTGTCGGTTAAAACTTTTATAGGACAAATTTCATCGTTATAGTAAATTCATTCTTGGCAGTTAGTTTTATGATTAATAGTCCTTCTACGGCAGCCACTTGAGACACATTTAAGCTCAGGTGTTTTATGAATACATAATTTCACGGTGTTTTATCGTGAGATTGCGTTTTGTTCCGCTGCTGGAGTTGAAAGGTAAAGAGGCAGGTTAACTTTTTTTTATTTAGAGAAAAATACCTCATTTAATAAGAGAAAAAATTATACTAAATTATTATAAATATAAATANGCATGGACTCGAGGACTTCTAGTTCTGGCTCGGTGAAAATCGTCGACAGGAGGAAAGAGGAATTTTCGCCATCGTGCCAATGAAAAATATAAATAAATTATTAAAAATTATTGTAAATAATGGCTTTTATTTACAATTGCAAAGATTGGAATATGTAAATATTTTCTTTGATCGAATGAATCACTTGTAAGAGTATATATTATTTCAATTATTTGTACTTTTTATCTAAGGTCTTGGTAAGATGAAAAAGCAAATGACATGATGGGGTTTGAACTCACGGACCTTTGGCTCAATACGTCGCTGCTGTAACTGCTTGAGCATATGATTGTAGGTGGTTAGAGCAGTGGCATATTGAGCCGGTCGTGGGCTCGAATCCCACTTGTTACATTAACTTTTTCATCTCAACTAAGACCTTAGATAAAAATAATAATTAATTCTAGTTTATGTTTATCTGACATTTATTAATGAACACCTTAGCCGTTAAAATGAACAATGAAATTTTAAATTTTCGACGCGTTTTGATTCAATTAATCACCTGGGGGTTTGTTTTAATACCTTATTTGGCGGGGCGGGGGCTTTCCGTCTTCAGGGATGAGCGCGTGTTCAGTGTTGCGCCTGGCATTTCGCCTGCCGCGAGCGTGGAAGGGGCCGTCGACCACCCCCGACACCACACAGACTCAAAACTCAGTATGGTTTCAACCCGCGTGGAGTGAATGTGGTGTCGTGGTGTATCGATGTTGGCGTAACATCATTTTCGTCTTTGTCATTTTCGTCCCTGAGAAATTTCCTGGATAAAAGAACACTGGGTATTTATACATTTTTTTAAAAATTATGAATAGCCTTTTGAGCAATTTTATTATTTATAAAATGACCAAATAAAAATCATTTTTAATATATATATATTTTTTTAATGACAAAAGTTTGTATTTTGTTTGTTAGTTGGAGTATGAGTTTATATAAAAATTATCTAGATTTTTAAAATGATTTTGATTTTTGCACAATATGAACACATCGGTTTTAATTTTAAGTAATTTCAAAATTAATATATTTCCCACTGAGCTTACAAAAAAAAAGTAACAGTCTTAAAAAAAATGTGATCATAGGTTTCCCAGAGTATTATTTTTTATGGTTTGTCCTTGAGGAGAGGCAATATTGAAAAAAATATATTTAATACGTCGATAATATTGTTATATTGTTTTTTGTCTGGTTTAGGGAAAAAGCTTTCGAAGGATTTTTTTCGCGACAAGTCGTCCGCCAAGCGGGACCACGTGACTCACGGGGGAGGGAATTCGTCACTTCGTGATCAATTAGAATCGGCTAAAATAATGAGTTTCGTTTTCACCTATTTTTGATTTTGTGGAGTTTTGTTTATTTTTGGCCTTTGAAAGTTTTTGGTTTTTGGTTTTAGATTGGGGGTTTAGAATGTACCGGTCAAAAGGTGTTTATATTGATAAAATGTTATCCTGTCATTCGTTTAAATATGGATACAATTTTATAAAAGAAAATTTTAGGTATTTTCAGCACAAGTCATAGTCGTAAATACTATGTCAAAGAATTCTGAAACAACGTATCTACATATTTTTTTGATTTGCTTAAACACTGTTTTTTACCAGTGAATATCTAGTCGTTACAGTAAAACATGAACTTTTAAAGGTGTAAAACATTAATGTTGCAATGTTAAACTGATTATGAGGTTTGAAATAATAGTCAAAAACTTTCTTTCTTTTTATATAATCATAATAATATTTTTTTATTTTTAATAATGCTTAATAATTTTTATAGGTGAAACAAACTCAAAACATAAAATAATAAAAATGTTTTAGTAAATTGTTACACGGTTTTCTATGGTCTTCTATAATACGTCTCTCTTTGTTCCCTCCCTGCCACTCTCGCTCTCTCTCTCTCTCCTCTCTCTCTCTCTCGCTCTCCTCTCTCTCTCTTCTCTCTTTCTCTCGCTCTCTCTCTCGCTCTCTCTTTCTCTCTCTCACTCACTCTCTCTCTTTCTCGCTCTCCTCTCTCTCTTAGATATTCCTCTATCTCTCTTTATATCCCAACGGATGTAACTNTATTTGTACTTGCATATTTACCACTGAAGATGTCTCTCTCTCTCTCTCTCTCTCTCTCTCTCTCTCTCTCTTTCTCTCTTTCTGTCTGTCTGTCTACCTATATCCATTTAACTAGATATTCCTCTATCTCTCTTTATATCCCAACGGATCTAACTATGCTTTTTTCACCGGTATACACTGTAAATTAACATACTTTATAGTCTACCTATATCAATTTAACTATCTAGTCATTTATATCTCTTTTTTAAATGTCGCTTCGTGTGGTTTGACTATTTTTTCTATGCTTTTTCCACTGTGTACACTGTAAATTAACATATTTTAAAGTATGTGCTTAAGCGACTTAAAAAGCAAAATTTACTTAAAGAAAATCGTATATTTTCATCAAACCACTCTCTCTCTCTCTCTCTCTCTCTCTCTCTCTCTCTCTCTCTTTCTCTTTCTCTCTCTCTCTCTCTTTCTCTTTCTCTTTCTGTCTGTCTGTCTGTCTGTCTGTCTGTCTGTCTGTCTACCTATATCCATTTAACTAGATATTCCTCTATCTCTCTATATCCCATCGGATGTTCTATTTTTCTGTTTTTCTTTTTGTTAGATGTTTTCTAACTGTGCTTTTTTCACCGGTATACACTGTAAATTAACAAAGTTTAAAGTATGATCTCACGCCGCTTGAAAAGCTTAAAAATTACTTAAACTAAATCGTATATTTTCATCAAACTTCTCTCTCTCTCCCTCTCCCTCTCCCTCTCTATCTCACTCTCCCTCTCTCTATCTCTCCCTCTCCCTCTCCCTTTCTCTTTCTTACTCTCTCTCAGTCTCTCTCTCTCTCTGTGTCTGCCTCTCTCACTCACTCTCACACACTCACTCTCTGTCTGTCTGTCTGTCTGTCTCTCACTCTCTCTCTCTCTCTCTCACACTCACTCTCTGTCTCTCTCTCTATCTGTCTCTGTCTGTCTCTCTCTCTCTCTCTCTCTCTCTCTCT